CTCTCTCTCTCTCTCTCTCTCTCTCTCTCTCTCTCTCTCTCTCTCTCTCTCTCTCAATAGGCAATGAAACTAATTTGTGTGCTGCACGCACGTGATGTTTCTTTATCTATTTAATTCAATCTTATAGATTGAAAAGAGGGTCATTCTTTGTTCTCGAATGAAAATAGAATAAGAGGGCTCGTTTTAGAAAAATATTAAGGTAAACGACCTTAATTTGTGGCGTGGTGGAACTTTTCGAAAATATTTCGAAAATATCATTCAATTCTTTCTTGGAAAAATTATTTGAATATATGAAGAGAATAATAGAATCAAAATATACAATAAAAAGATAATAATAACAAATTGTTTTATTTATTCATTTCTAATTTTTTGTTTTATCAGAAACAAAAATTGCATACGATATCATGTATTGCGAAAACTACAAAATGTAATTTCGAGGATTATAGATTATAAATCACTGTTCTGTCGTTACCATAAATTATGCCAATTAAATAAGCACGGTTTCATGAACATCATTAACTCTTATAATTGATTACATACATATATATATATATATATAGATGAAAATTTAAATATATTTTAATAATACTTTAATTACTTAATGTTTATAATTTAAAGAAGAAAAAAAATCAATCGTGGTGTCGTAATCGAATTACTTGCCAAATATGTACACGCGGTTTCTAGCTTCGATTCTACTCATCTTGAATTCATCGTAGAGAATATAGACAATGACGATATATAATTCAGCCCTTTGTACGATTCGATACGTGGCGACATGACGAACGCGTGCTCGATGAGCGGAAGCTCCCTTACCGGAAGCAGAGTACTCTGAATATTCATTTATACGGTTCGTTATGGATCCCAGTGAGAACATGCCGAATCAACGGTCCTTCGAGACTGTGAATCATAGTTGACCTTGAATTTACTTTAATCCCTTCGTTCTACGAACCGTTTCTAAGTAACCAGTTCCAGATCTATTTGCATTTCGATGTTATTCGCTGGTTGAAATCGTTTAATAAAAGCCAAAAAGTTTTGAATCCTCGAAATCGAAGTGAAAAATAATTTATTATTTATTTTATAATAATCGTTTTAATTTTTTTTTTTTTGTTACAATTAATAATCCATTGCGATCGTTTATGGAAGAAAAGTGGCCATTAACAGAACTGATGAATCTGAATGTAAAGAATTTCGAAAATAAAGATTTATTAAGATTATTTTTTGACAGAGATAAAAAAAAAAAAGAAGAAGAAAATATTTCGCAGTTTTTCGTGAATTCGAATTTCACATATAATTCTCTAATACACGTATACAATTTTGTTTCAGGGAGGAAGTACAAGAGCATACAGTCAGATGGAACGCTAAGTTTGAATTTTTATGCAAGATGAGTGCCAATGCGTCTACTGGTGTTCTCGACCCTTGCATTTTAAGGATATCAGTGAGAAAGGTGAATCATTCGATCGATTATCTGTAAATTTTCCTCCTTATACCCGTTATAATCGTTGATTATTATTCTTGCAGGAATTGAAGGGAGGCAGGTCCTTCCAGAAGCTTGGCTTCACCGACCTGAACCTCGCCGAATTCGCAGGAGCTGGACTCTGCAGAACGAGGTATCTTCTAGAAGGATACGACGCGAGACATCGGCAGGATAATTCCATGTTGCGCGTTGCCATCAAAATGAATATGCTTTCAGGAGATATTCTATTTAAAGTGTAAGTTCTATCAACATATGACTGCATACTGTCATTTTTAAAATGTCTAAGAAAATCTGAAGTTTTTTCTTTTATTTTTCTGTGAAGTTGGAGTTATAAATTTTCCAATTTTATTTAAGAAAAATAAAATAGATAAGATATTTTATCAAGAGGCAATATCAAAGAGGGCAGTAATAGATTTTTTTTGTTCTTTAAATCTCTAAGTAAAGTAAATATATAAGAATTATTATTTGAACAATATAATTATTAATTTTTTAAAAATTTAAATATTGATCAATCATTTGAATGATTCATTTGCTCTTCACAATAAAAATTAAATATACATCATGATTTATCTATTAAAATAAAAGATATAATACTAAAAGTTTATTATATTCAAGTTCTTTTGTGTTGCGATACTTAAGCTTAATTTATTGTATCATAAATGTTGGATTAATTAAAATGATAAGATTTGAATTAAATTTTATAGACCGTCTCCATCGTTGAAGCAAACGCAGCTCACAGTACCCGGTGTGCCAGGTGTTTCTGGTGTGACGACGGACGAAACTGTGTCTGAGAGGTGCACCAATCGAGAAGACTTTGTATCAAGTGGTTCCTTAGCTGGAAGCATAGCTAGTACAAGCAGTGGTTTCGGCAGTCTTCCTAAAAAAAGGCCTCCCCTTTTTTCCTCGGGTAAAGTCTTAATTCTAACTCTTCCATGTTCTTTCATGAAAGGAGAGAAGGAAATATAAATGAAATAAATAAAAAAAAAAAACAATTAGATATTAACCGTAAAAGTATCATATATTGAAAAAAAGAGACAAAGAACTTATAATATATGATAAAAAGATAAGATTCATTTTCCGATGATTTGAATAAATAAAAAGAAAAATCATATTCCTTTTCAAATATGCCATAAATTTATAATGTTGTATAAAATGAAATTATTTTCAAATTCATCTTCTGTATTATTTGTTATATAAAAAATCATTTTTATTCATTATAAAATTATACATTGTTTAATATTTTATTCTTATTGCATCGCATGAAAAATCATATTTCTCTTCAAGATAAGATATAAGCAATTTTTTATTTTTGTTATACAATTGAAATTTAATGAAAGAACATAACAATAAGAATAGGTAAATCATTTCAATTTTTATCATTAGCAAATAGTCGATCTATCCTTCCTTTTTCAGAACTTCTCAGTGGGGCAGAGTCATATGATCCAATGACTCTGAGCGAGATTGTACCATCGGCTCTTCCAGTGGAAACTCTAGCTGAAGCGCACACAGAGTCGGGACATTCTCGTAATAGTAGCAATACCAGTCAGTTAAGCAAAGGTTCCGGCTATGGATCTTTAAATTCTCACAGTCAACACAGTAGGCAGAGCAGTAGTGGTGACAGTGGTCACATTAGGTAAGGCCACGCGGCCAACCAGGGAATCAAATGGAAAAAAAAAAAAAAAAAAGTAGAAACAATAGAAAATAGAAAACTCTATTTCCGCAGAAACGAACAGAGATTGATCGTAGTTAGATCGGAAATTTTAAATCGAAGTAGAAATTAAGTCCTAATTATAGTCCAGAGTTCTCTTCTCCATACTTTTTGTAACAAAAACTTCTCTCATTTTGGCTCATTAACGGCTTATCTTACTATCTTTAAAGTGTTTCACTCTTTGATCTCTTTCTAGGAATTTTTTCGTAGTTACACATTTAAAAAAATCTTTTCTTTTTTTTTCTTCTTTTTTTTTTTTCTTGATGAATTTTACATTATTATGTACATATCTATGATTTTATTTGGATGATGAAGCGAGCATGGTATTTCATAAGGGATTAAATGAGAGGAATTTCGTAACAGGAATACAGTTGCTTGTTATAAATCATACGTCGTGGGATGTCATTCCGATAAAAGACGCAGCAAAGAATATCATCGTAACAACAGCACTAACAATTTTTTGTTGAAATGCGTGCCAATAAATACCATGCAATCGCGCTTGCGATTTTGCTTTGGAACTCTACGCTTAAGTTTTATATTTTGCCGAATCTTCTTACAAAAATTTCTTTTTTAAATTGCATTATGGATTAATAGTTTTAATAACTTTCGGTGCCTGATGCTTAACAAAAAAAAAAAAAAAAATTAAAACGCGTATATATACTAACTTTTCTTTGAACTGCCAAACTTACCACTCGAACACTTATTATTTAGCACGTGTTCGTGGCTGTTAACAAGAAGGCATTGATAATGATGTATGAGAAATTTCCCTCCTCCTTTTTTATATTTCTTTCTTTTTTATTATTATTATTATTATTATTATTATTATTATTATTATTATTATTCAGTTTCTTGAGACTCTGGATTCTCTCTATTTCTTTATATATACACATATATTTTTTTCTATTTCTCCCATATCTTCCCAATTCCATCTTTTTACGTACTGTATATGAGTTTATTATTATTTTTGCATGCTTGAATATTTGTGTTGTGATCTTTATAGGTCACCCTCCTGGCCGGTATGGGCTCCACGTATTCCCAATACCTCCCAAAATTCTTCGACCCAACAACAGCCCACAAAACCTGAGACTTCTCTCAATATCGAGTCCCCGACTTCGTCTTCCATCCTACGAAATCCACGAAATCGGTTCTGGTCTACGTCCAGCCCTGTTTCGTCATGCGAAGAAAAATCAGTGAGAAGTTCTTTGAGGTCTAGTATAGCGGTTGTTCCACTATCTAACGATCAGAATGAAACGAATGAAAACGGAATCGTTTCAAACGACACATGTCGTCGCGTTAACGAGAACGTCGAAAACGAGATTGGCGTGTTCAAGATACCTGGACCGCAAGACGTAACGCGGACGCGACAATTGCGAAAGAATTATGATAGACATAGTTTCGATTCGTCGAATGAGCATAACGTAGCGAATTCGTCGATGAAAAATCGAAATGGACAACAGAACAGCGTAGTCGCGCCGATCGCGAAACCGAGAATCGGTCATCCAAGTTGGAGAAATATTTCGAAAACCTGTGACTGCATCGAGAAAGGAAATATGAGCCCGGTTTTGCGATTGGCCGATCAGGCCAGAGCCGTGTCCTCTCCCGATCCTCTTCATAGGCCCGATAACCCCAGAGCCTCGCTACGTTCCGCGACGACCGCTCAGACCCTCAGGTAGGTTTCATTCATTCAGCGACTTTCTCTTTTTTATGATTGATTTTTTTAATTTTATTTATTTATTTATTAATTGATTAAATTCCCTTTGTTCTTCCTTTCGATTTTTGTGCGTTCTATCTGTTGCCTCCTTTTTGATTCTGTGTTAACTGCCATTGCATAGTCGGTTTCTTGGGCCCTCTTGCGTATTAATTTAGTAACTAATAATGTTAGCGGATGTTAGAGAGGTTGTAGGTTATGTTTTCTCTTACAATTTTTGAAATTCATATAAAATAGGATAATTAAATAATAATAAGTGTTTCTCAACTTTTTTTATCGATATATTGGTAAATTTATATATTATTTAATATTATATATATATATATTTGTAATAGTATTGTTATCGAATTTATAGTCGCAAAGAAATTTAGTTCCTGATACAATTTTGATTTCTTTACATTTTCAGTAAATATACAAGAAACAACAAAAATATACTATTGTTTTGATATAAATATATAATTGTTTGAGTTGTTATTTATATAATATAGTGTAATATAGTGCAATATGATTCGACATTATATTTCGATTCAAAAGTTGAGAAATGTTGAAATGGATAACTCACAAGATTTATATTATTATTATAAAAGAAGATCGTTTTATATTGTTGACTTATAATTATATTTCGCTAATAATATTAGTTTCATATTTATACGAGAAGGCTCTAGAGTGTTCGTTTAAATATTATCCATTTAAAAGGATTATAGAAAATGTGTATCGAGTTGTAGTATAAGCAGTTTTTTTCTTTATATCATTTTCCATTTTAATTTATTATTATTATTATTTTTTTTTAATTAGAAATACACGATTTGTTTTGATAATTATTGCGTATTATTTTTCATTTATAAAAATTTCATTTAACATAACAACAAATCGTATATTTCTAGTGCAGTTTATCTTTTCCGGCATGTATTTTTTTTTTTTCTTATTATTATATTATTTCTCTCTCTCATTTTATATTTTACATTAACGGCACTTAATGTCATATATAAAAATCCAGACATGCAAATATATTATAATGTTTAATAAGCTTATATGTACAAAGATACATATTTGCTGCGAGATTTGCTTCCGCTTTGCTTTATTGATTGCGCAAATTTTTTATCATAGAAGCTACCGATAACATATCACGTCAATTATTTATTTATTTATTTATTTTGTGAAACTCAAGATAAATCTCCAAATTACATCCATTCCAATATCATATGCTGCGCCTATTCACTAACTTGAATCACGTTATTATTCCAATGCGATATTAATGTCTAATAATCGTATAAAAGTATTATATTGTCGAAACAGAGGGCAACTGTATTTAAAACGTACATCAAAATAAAAAGGAAAATATTAATCACATCTATGAAAGAAAACAGTGCCAAAGGATGTATATACAAATGTAGCTAATAGAGTTACATTTTGTAGTTGGTATAAATTGACCATTCAAATTATATTTATGATTATGATTTAAAAAAGATTATTCTCTTTAAGTCAATTTTATTTCTCAATGAACTTGAACGATCAATCGACAAATTATGTATTAAAGATGTATATCGCTGAACACTTTCACAGTCCGCGTTACATAATTTCGAACATAACTTGCTTCTATAATAATCTCTCTAACAAAAGCAATATAATCTTCCTCTAGCTTTCAACATTTAGGTTATCCAATAAGTTTTTTCCCCATAAAGTAAATTATTTGATTATATTTATATATATGAACATTATTTTTTTGTTTGATATATAAACATTTTTTGCTGACAATGATTATAATAAGCAAGTGTCACTTAAGAAATAAGAAACTCACATTTTATTGAATCTTTTGAATCTTTGTCGTTAATTTTAGATACGGAATAGTTTGTAAAGAATTCATTTTACCATTTTTCAGGTCAATATTTACGTATCTCTTTATTTAACATGCAACGTGTTAAAATTTGTTCCTTTTGTCATAAAAAATTTTCAAATTCAGCTAGATCATCATTTGATATATTCGTTTATTAAATTTATTCTACTAGAAAATTAGAAGTTAAATCGCCAATGCAAACGATGATCGATTAAAGATTATTTTAGAATGATTCCAAAATGAAACCAATGTTCAATTTTTTGAGATTCTTCCTCGTACAAAGCACGAACTTATTGGAAAGCCTAACATCATTCGGTTAACAGTATTAAAAGAAAGGGCCCGAACTGTGAAAGGAAAAGCGAGACACACGCGGCGAAAGTAAAAATAAAGGGGGCTAGGTGCGGAAAAGAGATGGTGTAGCTTTCCTTCCACTTTGGATGGCTTTGTGAATCCTTGCAGGGGTATGGTTGGAGGCCACCGGAAGTTGCTGGACGGGGCGGGGGGCAAGCTGGCTACGGTCGCCACCAGCCCAGCGGACTCCGAGGAGTCCTCCTTAGGGGTACCGGAAGTCGCTCCACCGAGTTCCCAGCACCGAAACAGCATAACCCCACCGTCAGTCCATGCTTTCGTCTTAATTCTATTCTCTTTGTACTCTTCGATCTTTCGACTCTGTTTTCTTTTTCTCTCTGTCTCTCTCTCTCTCTCTGTCTGTCTGTCTGTCTCTTTCTCTCTCACTGTCTCTTTACTCTTCGCTTTATTCTTTGGATGTAAATGTTGGGTAAACCCATAAGTAATTTCGTTTTAAAAATCGAATTGCAATTTCGAAGAATCGTTTATCGTAAAGTAAATTTTTGAAACGAAGTCAAATTCTCGTTAAAGTAATTTCGTACAATGAAATAAATCGTATTGCAAATGTTAAAATATTTGAGGTCTTCTTCCACGTTGATAATGATTATAGCAAATAATATTGATAATTAAAAATTATATAGCTGGTGATTGATAAATTATTTTTCAATCCAGCATATTTATTTACTTTTATATATATATATATGTATTTAAACAGAATGTAAAATTTTTTTAAATAATCGAAATTCTTTTTGAAAATTAAGAAATTTATTGATTTTAACTTATTAAGATTAAAAATATATAAGTATCATTTTACTTTTTTTTTTTTTTTTTTTTTTTTTTTTTTTTTTTTTATTTTATATATA